GATAGATAGAGAGAGAGGGGGGGGTATATAAATATTGGTCCATATAAGAGGTCCCCTAAAAGCAAACAGATCATTTTGTAAGCAGAACGCAGTGTGTGAGGTTGCGGGGATCTATCCCCTGCTAAAGACCCGGGCCCGTGGCCTGCAGTCAATGGATCGGTGGACCGGAGCACCACGGAGTAGCTACCGATCGTACTTTGATCTTACATCAAAAGATGGATTATCGTTAGCTTTTTTTTGTTTATAGTTTTAGAAGAGGTTTTACGGCGCTCGCAACTGCATAATGTCACATGAGCGCCAAAAGATTAGAAGTGTTACAAGAGAGTAACAAACATAAAAAAAAGAAAATGGGGAGATAAGGACGATATATGTTTGATAGGAAAGAAGAAGCAAACCACACCAGAACACTCGCCAACCATCCACTTCTAACAAACAGTTAGCTACGCCGTGTGTTGGATTGGAATCCACAGGGTAAAATATCAAGGGGCAGACCGCACTGAACCTAGAGAAGAATCACATAAATTGATGTACAGAAAAGTGGGAAGACACGGAATAATATCAAGAGGCTAGCTCAGAATAGTAAAGGGTGGAAATTGTTTGTCCGTGGCCAATACCCAAGTGCAGGGTGAGAAAGGCAATGATGATGATGGTGATGACTCCGTGTGTTGGAAGACGTGCAGCTAAACAAGGCACCGATTTTTTTAAAAGATGAAGATGTTTTTAAAACCGCCATTAACGAATTACAGATCATTTTGGAGGCTTTTTTCGGAGGGGAGGGGGGTATGGAAGGCGTTTTTACACCTCATCGACACAATATTGATTTTTTGGAAGGCGGGCTTCGACCCTCCCTTTCAGATTCTACCGGGCTAGGTCAAGATTTTTAAAATGTGGAAATGGTATAGGTTTAATGCCCCTATCAACACTAGTAGGTTATTTAAGGGGCAGGACCTCCGAGTTTAACGTCAATCTCCCAAAGGACCGAGACAATTGGGAGATTTCTGTAAAGCGCCTTTCCCAAGGACAAAACGTCGGACCGAGCTGAAACTCGAACCTTAGGTCCGAAAACAACAGACAAATAAAAAGACAATGAAGTTTACTCTATAACAATTATCTCCACACGGAAATCGACCTCGGTTATTGCTTGAGGCGGTGAAGCATCTTGCCGTTACAGTAGAGACAAACATAATTTTTCAATCATAAATAGGGGTATACAAAACTAGTTCCGAAATATTTGTATGGTATTGTAACAAACAAAATTTTCGTCAGACCGGTAAATCTAGGAGCTTTTTGCAAAACCAAGTGTTCGCTTTCATTTCGGTTTGACAAACAAAACAAACTTTAAAAATATGCATTGCAAATTTGAGACACTTGACTTGCTGCCATTCATTCACCCACGAAACAATGCATGTTCCTATATCTTTAGAAATCACTTTAAAACTAGAAGACTTCAAGCGTCTATAAAACAACAAACAAAACAAGCAATAAACAAAAGCAGGCCTAGACCCCGGCTCTCACCTCCCGACCCTCTAAGATATTGTCAATAGAACGCAAAATGCCGTAACCACAGACTGAAAACTTACATCAGATGTGCAATCCAAACTCCATTAATAATTCCTCATGTATAAAGACGTGGGGTATTTTTTTTTCACCTTTCTATTTATGTTTTTAGAGAAAGTTTTAGTAAGAACCTTACAGCACTTGCAACACAATAAGGTCATACAAGTGCCGAAGAATAGAGGTGTTACAAAAAGGAGGGGAGAGACAGTTTTAGTTTTAGTAGAGGTTTTACGGCGCTCGCAACTGCATAAGGTCATATGAGCGCCAGAAGATTAGAGGTGTTACAAGAGAGTAACAAACATAAAAAAGAAGGAGGGGACAGAAAGGCGATAGATGTTTTATAGGGAAGAAGCAAACCACATCAAAGCATCCGCCAATCAAACATAATTATTTGTTGTCACATGTGTCCCATGCCAAAGGGCTTGAACCCCGATGGCGGCTGGATCGGAAAAGTAAAGTAAAGTAAAGTAGTAAATCTCATGTATAACTCAAGCACCCATAGAGATGAAGTATAAAAGAAATAGTCAAGTAAAACTAGTTCTTAATTATATCTGTGTCATTGCAACAAACAATTCCTTTCAAACTGGTAAATTCAGAAGTATGTTAGTCCTAAAAAAAATTGTTCTATCTTAAATTTCTGTCAGAAAAAAAAAAACGAACTTCAGGAATATTTTTTGCAAATTTGAACACCAACAAAACAAGGCACAATATTCAAACATTTTTAGATATCCCTTTCAAACTAGAAGGCCTCACTGGTCTAAAAAAAACAAACAAACAAACAAACAAACAATAAACAAAAGCAGACAAAGACCCCGGTTCTCACCTCCCGACCCTCTAAGACTTTATCAAAACAGCGCAACAATGCCGTAACCACAGACTGAAAACTTGAATTACTTCCCGGCCAGCCAGTCCGGTACACAATAGACGCTGAGCTGTTGGGCATGTCTTTGATGCAAGCCGCCGTGGTTACAACATACGCAGTTTGCTCCCCTTGTCTGAGCATTTCACCAGATGGCACGAGCTCACTGGCAGTCACCAGACAATAGGACAATAAGAAGACGTCAGGCATGAAATCCAAACTCAAGCAATATTTCCAGAGTATAAAGACAGGTTTCCTATTTTTTCTACCTTTAAAAAAATAATTTAGTATAAAAGAAACAGACGAGTAAAACTAGTTCTTAAATTATGTGTTGGTTATTGCAACAAACATTTCTTTTCAAACTGGTAAATTTAGAATTACGTTAGTCATAAAAAAACCAATTGCTCTATCGTATGTTTCAGCTAGACAAACAAAACTAACTTCAGAAATATTTTTGGCAAATTTGAAAGACCTGACTGATTGCCATTCATTCACCAGCGAAACAAGGCACAATATTCAAACATTTTTAGAAATACCTTTCGAACTAGAAGGCATCAAGGGCCTCTAAAAAATAACAAAAAACAAAAGCAAACAATTGACAAAAGCAGGCCAAGACCTCGGTTCTCTCCTCCCGACCCTCTAAGACATTATCAAAACAGCGCAACAATGCCGTAACCACAGACTGAAAACTTGAATCACTTCCCGGCCAGCCAGCCCGGTACATAATAGACGCTGAGCTGTTGGCATGTCTTTGAAGCAAGCCGCCGTGCTTACAACATACGCAGTTTGCTCCCCTTGTCTTTGCATTTCACCAGATGGCACGAGCTCAGTGACAGTCACCAGACAATAGGACAATAGACTCGTTAACTTCAAGAGTGGTAACCAAACTCCAATAATATTTACTTTGCTTAAAGACTTCTATGTATCTTTTAAAACAATTTTTAAAAAAGGCAGGCCAAGACTCTAGTTCTCACCTCCCAGTCCTCTAAGAACGTGTCAAAACACAGCAACAATTCCTTAATCAGGGACAGAAAACTTCAATCACTTCCCGGCCAGCAAGCTGAGTATATAAGGGACGCTGGTCAGCATGTGGTCACTTTTCTCTGGACGTTCCGAGGATACGTATCGTTTGTGGAGATTATCATCGTTTCATATCACCGAAGTTACACGACCCAGCATGGATGCCGTTGAACAACACGACGCTTTTTTCAACTCCTTCAACCTGGTGAGAGGCCCCTGTCTAGGGAGTGGTGCCTTAGGAGAGGTTGTTCTGGCCTCGGCCAAACACAACTCGTCGTTGAAAGTAGCGGTGAAAATCGTAACTTTTGAGACGGTGGGGTGTAAAGGCGACTTTCTCTCTGAAGTCGGCTTCCTTCGTGATTTGCGCCACCCCCGCATCCTCAAGATGATAGCGTTTGCTATGGATGATCACCACGGCTTCATGTTGTCGACTTACTTCAAGAACGGCACACTTCGCGACACCATGTCATCCGACCACCCTGTGGAAGAACCACGGATCCTCCGACACATTCTTGACGTGGCCAGCGCTCTGCAGTACATCCACGGTCTCCACATCTTCCACCAAGACGTCAAGCCGAGAAACGTTCTCTTGGATGACCAGGATCGCGCTATTCTGGCAGACTTTGGAATCGCAAGACAGGCAAGTGACAGCTCCACGATGGTGATGAAGTGGAGGACTACACCCGGCTATAGCGGACCCGAGACGAGGAAAAGGCGGCCTATGAGTCCTTTCAAGGTAAGAATGAGTTCCTTTTTTTTTCTCTCTTTTTGGTTTGTTTTCTTGTCCTTTATTCTCTCTCTCTCTCTCTCTTTCACTCTC